TCACAAACGCGAATATATCCTCGTAGAACATGATGGGCACCGTTAGCCCCTGGGGCAGGTACTCGGCCTCGGCTTTGCGCATAATGTCAGCGATCGGTAGGATCAGGGACAGGGCGTACCGTGCGATCTCATCATCCACAATTTGCTCGCCATATTGGGTCACATTATCCGCTTTGACTGTATTTTTGTTAATTATATTAAATATGCGAATTGTTAAAAATGTGACCAGGGAATTGTTTATAACAAAATCTTTTTAAAATATAATTCTATTAAGTAGTTATTAAATATTAAATAGTGGTGATTTAAATTTTTAAAATATTATTATATAGTGTTCATAATTTAGTTACAGAGTGTTAGTATCAATAAAATATTTTTATATTAAAACTAAACTTACCGATATCAATTGACAAATAAATAGCCACAATTAAAGCGGTATAGAATTTCATATTTAATAGATTTTATAAAAAAAATTTAATATAATAATTATGAATTTTATTCAATAACTACTGGAGCTAGGTAGTATACTTTTTTAAACATCACATCTCAGTTTATATACCGTTTTTAAATCAGTATTTGATTTCATTGATTACTATTAGAAACATGTGTTTTTGAGTAATAGTTATATAAAATAATGAAATAGTTAGTATTGTAAGTAAAAATGATTTTTATTAATTATGATTGCCTGAACAAAACATGCACTTAATTATTACATGAACATTTATTACATAATTTATTGCTTAACATTATATAAGTAAACTTGTTAATACAAAATATAAAANTCAGTAAAAATGATTTTTATTAATTATGATTGCCTGAACAAAACATGCACTTAATTATTACATGAACATTTATTACATAATTTATTGCTTAACATTATATAAGTAAACTTGTTAATACAAAATATAAAAATAATTTATAATGGTTGTGTGAACAAGTTGCAATTGTATTATACATTTCTATCCTGTTTACATTTTAGGATTAATTAGTTTAACATGCTGTAATTTTTACATTAAAAATTTAATTTTTGATTTATAAACTAGACCATAAAATTAGACCAAGTCATAAAATAATTTTGGATTTAATTTTTCTAATAAATCAATATTTGTAGATACACATGTAGATATTTCTAATAATTTGCAAAATGTTTCCAGGTGCAATATTTTTACATTTAAACTTTTGGGACAATCATAAGTACTGGAACAATGAGATGTTTCCTTGGTCATACGTGTTAAGTGAACCGGATTATTATAAATAACAGGTAGTGTCCAGGTTGAAATAAGTCTTTATTATGTATTACTTTATTAGTAGTATTAATTTTTAAATAATGATTCAATTAATAATGTTTAACGTTTATCTAATGTGTAATCACCAATTACATTTAATACATTTTTATCAGACATTGATTTAAAATACATAAACTCCATACAAACAAATATCATTATAAATAAATATTACTAACAATTAATAATTATAACATGATTACTATCATAATTAAAACATAGATATTATTAGCATTATATAAGAAATACATAAATATTAAATTAATTACAATAATATACAATAAATATTTAACCTTGTTAATAACAATAAGTATATTATTTATATTTGGTAAATATTTTATGCAACTTTTGATAAAAATATATTTTCATGGAAACTTGCTTTAATAAATGGCTAAATCTTATTAGTTTGATACTCTAGTACATTTTAACATTTTTATTCAATTCATAGTAAATAACAATTATTGGCATAAACCAACTACTCGTATAAATACACAACACAGATATACTGTAATATATTTTCATATTAAAATATTCTTGCACCAATAACTCGTTACTAGTCTTATTACTCAACAATATATTCATTTTTAACGTACAGATAATAGCTACATAATAAAATACACAATAATGATGTTATAATTATATTTTATATTATATTTCACGTAATATTCACACAAATCCTTATTTAATTCAATGAGTAATTTTGAGTACAAATACGATATTAAATACGACAGGAATTGTATAATCCGTAATGAGATTAAAAATAATTGAAAATAATATTCTGTTGCTTTAATTAACGACAAAATATATATACGAAAATAGATGTGAATATTTTTATATAAATAGCGGTAAATATTTGCTTAATTATATTATATTTGCCGAGAAAATCGTAAGGAATTAAAAAATATTCAAACATGATAAAATTATGTATTATTGCATAAATACAAAAAATAATTTATTAGTAGTGAAAATATTATTCCAATCAATTAAATATTAATACATGTATAATTAAAATAATTTTTAATTAGCTAGGCGTGAATATTAATTTTATAAAAGTGTAGTTTATAGTTGTTTATAGTGGTGCCTGGTGAAGTAGAACCATGTCCATCAGTAGCAACTGGATGTTTTTGGATCTGAGCTCACTTGTCGGTAAATTTCCAATGGCTGAGTAGAGTCTGGGGAACTCCATCTGCCAAAATCCTTTTATCTAAAATTTTTAATAATATAATTTTATTTATTAATAAATTTAATGATATAAATTTATAGAAACATTAATTTATCAAGTAATAAAATAAGAATTATACAACTAATTAACATGCAAGAATAATATTATAATATTGTTAAATAAAACGAGCAAAACTTTTAAACTGAAATATAAATCTTATCATAGGCTTAATTATAAACTATGCCGTTATCAATTTAAGATTATTATACATGTTGCTCAAATAAACCAGCTCACTAACCATTACCAACTCACTCACTATTCCCTAATTTCGGGCTTGTCCTGGTCAAACCGGGACGTTTGGTCACTCTAATAATATGACTAGAAATCATACCTTTTGATGGAAAGCCACATAAAATGGGTGTGCAGTCTTCCCCATAACGTAGTCCAGTGCCCCATATATGGTCTTCTCCTCGTCCTTCAGCCTATTGATCAGATTGTGTTCAGTGCCGGTCATCTTAAACCGTTTGCCGCTCCTTAATAGGGCCAACCGTTTGGACAAATGGCTATAACCGGTCACTTCGCCCATAAACTTCTGGATGACGGTGTGGTGCTCGAGGAAGTTGGCGGCAGTATCCACTGGCATGGCTTTGAACTGGCTATATACCCATGGTAACATTTGCCTCACAAACGTGAATATATCCTCGTAGAGCATGATGGGCACCGTTAGCCCCTGGGGCAGGTACTCGACCTCAGCCTTGCGCATAATGTCCCCCACCGGTAGGATCAGGGACAGGGCGTACCGTGCGATCTCATCATCCACAATTTGCTCGCCATATTGGGTCACATTATCCGCTTTGACTGTATTTTTGTAAAAGACATTTTATGTTACGTTAATTATATTAAATAG